TTTTTTTTTTTGCCCTGGGGCATTTATTCGAATAAAAGACGCCATTTTATTTCGCCAACTAAAATGGGGCACAGTTAAATTTGATGTTGACTCACAATTACACTCATGTAATAATAATAATGTGAGTGACGATATATGAATTTGTATATTTTTTATTTCTACAGTATAGTATTTTCCTGTCTTGTTAAGGATGTAGTCCACAGATATGGTTGATTAATGTAGCATAGGCCTAACTTTATTTTTTAGTAATTTTACTGTTCCTCTTTGTTTTTAATTTTACTTTGTATTTTGTAATTTTAAGTTATTTTCTTTTTCTTTATGTATTTTATTTTGGTATGTTTCTTTACTTATGGATACACCATGCATTTTGTGTGAGTTCCACTGTATCAAAATAGATCCATTAAATTGTATTGAATTGAAATTTCATAGTTTCGTGGCTGAATAGGGGTGTTACAATGGTCTGTACAGGTACGGTACTTAAAACGTGCTATCATCTAATTGTTCAGCTATATCCCTTCATTCTCACTATGTACCGACCTCAAAATCTTGCACAGAGCTCTGTTATATGTATCAAAATCATGACAAATTATTAACTGTCCGGCATTAACAAACAGTACGGAATTTTACTGTATTAGTTACCGGTACCGTTGTAACCACAGCATGACTTATTATGCACACAGATAGATAAGGATTTTATTCATTATAAATTCACTCATTATTTATATAGATCAAGTTTCTATTTTCAAAAATTCAAATAGAAGGAAGTGGATTACCAGCAAATGTATTTACTTAGTGCCTATGCTAACATTAGGAACAATATTTACTGCTAATGTTCTTCCGTGGTGATAATGATAACACATACGGTACATCACAACATAAGAAAAACCCCACTCCTAATTATAAGAGGGTGTTACTTAATATATTTAGGAGCTCGCAAAATCCACAAATCCACAATTACATCTCTTTTATTTTCCCTTGAAGAAATACCCAACAACATTAGGCCTACATCCAACAATAGAGAAAATATGTTATCTTAATATTTTGGTTAAAAACAATGGTTAGAAGCGTTACTACCGGGCCGGCCTTATGCGTTTAAGAAGTTGGTCTTATCATTAGCCCTTTATACTGACACATATATAAACAGGATTGACGTCAATATAATGTTAGACTTATACACTGTTTCATAGAGCGTAGTGCACGTAAGGTACAAATAAGGCCAGAACCTTTTTCAACATTGTATCAAGCACATATATGATAGTACTGGGCAGAATTCTGGGAAGAATTCCATAATTGATACGCCTCTACCTAATACTCTACAATGTTTTCATTGGTTGAAAGATGGACTGTTCAACTCTGAAGAAAGGTAGACCTTTTTTTACATAAAATATATATTGTTCAAATTTGGAATTGAACTGCTTAAAAGTAACTTTTTGGTTACAAAATTATTCTCGTACGTATGAGACAGTATCTTAGACGTATGCAATAATATCTCTTACGTACGACTTAAGTATCTCGTATGCATGAGATAATGGCCGAAAATTATTTTTTATGTTAGCAGCAATACGCTTCTGTACAAAAACTTGCGCATGGTGGATTTTTGTTTAATATTCAAAAGACAATTAAGCGATGAGAATATTATTAATAAATTTAAATAATTTATGTATCCGTGTATATTTATTTTAAAATGTAATAAATATGAGAAAAAGCGGTCAGGCCTTAGCCAGTAAGTCAATTGATTTCATACATTTGCCTAGCAACACAATCATTTCTTATAATTATCTGGACCAATGGCCGCTGACCGGCCGCATGGCGTCGTATCATACTAATTTAAAAGTCACGAATCATCGGACATGACGGAATCGTACCACCAGTTATGGTTAATTTCTTCAACTAGGCCTACAAATCATTTTCAATAAATTAAAGTGGTATACTCACTGATTTTCAATTATTCAGTCAGAACCAATTCTGTCAATTAAAAGGCATGTCTATATCTGGGCATCTGAGCGCCGAGTTGCTAATTAAAAGCAAGATCTTTAAATTTCTTCACTTAGACGGAAATTAAAATTAATGTTTCAGGTTTTTATTGTACTGTATGGAGTTATGGTTCCTAATAACAATTTCTTGGTTGCCAAACATCGAACTCTGCGTTTCTACCAACATGGGCGCAGATCATTGGGTGAGGGGGTGGGTGGGGACACGTCACCCACATATATTTTTAAGGGGAAGTTGGTTCCCCACTCGGCGGCAATGTCAAAAAGATGCCTGAAAATTGTTGAAATGAACTCATGATGACCCACCTTTTAAAGAAAAGTACCGGTCCGACCAGAATTATCACTTATTACAGTATGATACCGATATCTCTTCCCACTAGGCCTTTTATAAGGTTAGGTTACACTGCGCGTGTCTTTATTATAATTTGAGAAGCATGAGAGAGAAATAAAAGCGTGTAAAGATTAAGATTTGTTCGACACATACCGGTAGGTAAAGTAAAGTAGGCCTAACTACCAGGGACGGATCCAGTAGGGGGCATGCGGGGGAGGGGGTGGGGACACATCACACAGATAGATCTCTGTTGTCGAAAATTGCTGACAAAAGATCATGAGAAATTTGTTGGCGTTTCATTTTGAGTTTAATGCCGGTGATGTGATGATGATGAAAAAGAATGTCATTTCCGACCATCTAGAGGTTTACTCTAATTTTTTCTTCTACAACATAGTGAAATTCATTTTTCCTCCGGGAAAAGCCAGGCTCCAGAGGGGGAAAACATTTGGTTGTACAACTGATTTTTCTATTTCACAAAATTTAACGAAAAACTCCAAGCGGCACCTTTTTCAGTAGTTTTTAAATATTAAAAAATGCTCTCATTACCGCTCCTTTGTTTTTCGTCAAAATATAGGCCTAGGCCTATGATATTTTCCACCCAGTTTTCCTCTATTTAAACGTCGTATGATTTGTGTGCGATTTTTACTAATTAACCCCTAAGTAAAAAATAGTTGAGCCACGTAGTACCTTGCAAATCATCCCAGAATCCCGGTAGTTTGTTGATAGTTTATTTGTAGCGTCCCTTCGCTGCCAAAAATAGCTTTTTGGCAGTTGCGTCCCCGGTGACGTCATCAGGGCATGGTGAAGGCGGCGCATCATTGAGTATTTTCATTCATCTGGCCATGTAAATCAGTGGCGTATCTA